ATCCCATAGGAGCCCTTATAAGAAATAATTTCTATGATGGTTCCGTGGAACACAGTTTAAGAAACGATGATGTAAAGCATTAAAATGGTTCTGTTTTTACCACAAATTATCCGAAATTGAGCTATTTTTTTGTACCGGATTCATCATTCTAGGATTAAAAATAAAGGTTATACAGGGAGTTTCAGAATAAAGTACCTTAACAGAGGGACTTGTAGATCTTAAATAATTAATAAGAAAAGCAACATGATTTTAACTTAAAAATTTGTATGTTAGTTAATCGTTACTATTAGTCAACATACTTTATTCGCTGTTGCTAGGTACAAGCTAAAGTGTACACAAATCAAAAAATTATATACACGCGAAACGTCATATTGCTGTGGTTGGAGGTGTTTGTGCGAATGCGTCTTATTTGTTTTCATTTACCTTAGAAGCAAATTTCACATACATGAACAAATAATAATAATGCCATGACAACAAGAAAACGAAGTAACGACTACTCGTAAGGTGGCGGCTTTGCCGCCACAAAATTTTTTTATTCCATACCTAGCTATGCGAACCGGCATTAACACCAACGGCCTGCACACAGCTCACCTACTCTGACAAGACGTTTCGCGTGTATATAACTTTTTGAATTGCGTACAAGCATTGTATAAAGAACTATAGTAGGATAATCGCAATGTAAAAGTTATTGGAGGCAATCGCGCCCGACATCTATTGGTACAATCATTGAACTAACGATTTTATTTACTGGTTAGATACGCCCTCTACGTCAGATGTTAGAACTTTATAAGTGACAATTCCGTCAAATTAATTGTCAGTATATATTTTTTTAAGTTATTTAGATTAAATAAAAATAAAAATTAGTGATTCTTGTAAAGAATCAATAAATAATAGCATTCCACAAGATATTCGTCTATATTTAGAAATAAACTGAGATTTTAATGAAACTAAAAGCAATCTGATTATCAGCGTTAAAAAGTAAAACTTTTTCATAAGTCTTCATAACGAAAATTTAGAGTACTTGTCTAGGAATCGAAGGGTTCCGAGTTCAAACCCACGAGTGGACACTTTTTTTTATTATTTAATTTTATTTTCTAAATTGGTAAAACTTAAATTAATTTCAAAACATTAATTTTACGTTATTGACATCTAAATCTTCATGCTCAAATTTCGTCTTTTTGCTATGGCCACTCGGGATCATCAAATTATAATAGAATATTATAAGGTCCGGTAATTTTATTTAAATCTTTTGACAATGAAACTAAAAATGTGTGTGTCTAAAGGAGAAATATACCGAAAATAACAAGTATTTAAATTTTGCTAATAAATTTGTATTAGGTATGTGTTAAAAGAAAATACATAATTTTGGATTTGAATATACAGTGTGTCGCAAAATGTCTGCACCAAGAAAACGCACAAAATTACATTTTTCTTTAATCTGCGTAAAAAAGTGCGAATTAAATTTTTTTTACTGAAAATTTATGGTACCTAACAGGGTTATTCATTATAAATTACCCTCCCTTTATGCTATAATTATTATTGTATAATGTTTACATGACCGAATTTTGTAAAAATGTCATCAAATGACCATATCAGTGGTGTGCATATTTCACAGGATTTAACATGAATATTTTTTAATAAGGATAGCATAGATATATATTTTATTCAATTTTCGAAATGATCTTTATTCTTTCCTGATTAATTAAACGTCGAATATCATAGATAATCTATGTCGAATATCTTATAAATATTTACACTTTTTCTTTCTCACTGTAAACTACCTATTTGGATTATTTTATTATCAAACATAATAGTTGTGATTTTCATAGCTTTTACTTTAATAATGTTAACTTTTCATGTTTACATTATCAACGTTAAATTACTCGAGAACAGACGGTATAATAATATACATTTGTGAAATTAGAAAAAAAATATCCCAGAAATTTAATAACATAGAGGGTATCCCATTTAAAAAAGTTTATTTGTGTTGTATTCCGTGAAATCTGAATACGTGTTTTTATGGTATATTTAAAAAAAGTCAGTCATATTCACAAACTTTTATTTAAAGCTTTTTTTGAATATGCAATAGTGGTTATAAAAGGTGTCTTTAATAATGAATAATCTTGTACATGATCTCAAATAAATTTGTTGAAATTAATTTCATTTGTAAAAATGTCACTTCCGCTTCTCCGGTATTGCTAAAAAAAAATTGTGTCCAGGTCCAGGATTTGATGGTGGTAAATATTAACTCTAGATACATTTTTCAAGTAACATTGTTCTCCTGTTTTTAGAAATAAAGGTTAATGTTTAGCCAAATTCATATATTTTTTTTTGGACACACAGTATGTTTGTATAATATTAAAAACTTCCCCTACTAAATATTTTGGCTCAATCAAAGTAGATATCTTAAATTGATTATTGTTAAAAAAAGTAGAAATAATATTAAATATAATAAAGAAATTAAAAAAATAATTTAATTTAATAATTTGATTTAAAAATTGAAATTTTGTGTTTATATGTATAAAAAATTGTAGATTTTAACTGTTTTTTTTTAAGTTCTAACTTGATTTTTTGGGGATGCCACACCCTCCATCTCCCTCCAGGGGATGGTGGTGGTAAGATATTTATACAAAAATGTTGCAAATCATTTCTATTGTAAATATGCCAAAAATAAGATTTTTATGTATTTGTAACTATTTTTAAATGCCACCCCCACATCCGAACTATTTATAAAAAATTTGGAAATTTTTTTTCAAAAAAAATTGTAATTTTGGGTTTATATGTATAAAAAATCGTAGATTTTAACTGTTTTATTTAAAACGTTCTAACTTGATTTTTTGGGGATGCCATCCCCTCTATTTCCCTCCAAGGGATGGTGGTGGTAAGATTTTTATACAAAAATGTTGCAAATCATTTATATTATAAATAGGTAAAAAATAAGATTTTTATGTCGTCTGTAACTATTTTTAAATGCCAGCCCCCACATCCGAACTATGAAGATTAAAGTCGAAATTTTTTCTAAGTTTCAAAAAAATTGGAATTTTGTGTTTTTATGTATAAAAAATCGTAGACTTCAACTGTTTTATTTAAAAAGTTCTAACTTAATTTTTTGGGAATGCCACCCTCACCATATCAGATAGGGGTGGGGAGGGGTGAATTTTTTAAAGCGATTTTTCAGTTATAAATACACAAATTTTTTAGGGAACTCGTCCTTTATTAACAGTAAAATAATTCAGTAATAAAACATAAACACAACTCATTCACAATACCTACTACCCGTAAACGCACTAACGCACAATAACAAACATTAGATAGAAAATAGTCCAAACATTCAATCACGAGTGTATAAAATTTCATCCAAGAGCTAAAAATAGAAATCCATCGATCGGTCTCAGTCATTCTTAAAAATTTCTGCTGGACCCTCAACTCCGCCCACTGCAAACGAATATCGACTTATCCATATTCACTAGCGCCATCTATTGTTAGTATCCATTTCGCTCCAATGAAACTTCCATAAGGTGAGACTACTATTTAGTTCTTTATACAATGGTACAAGTTAGCGTGTACCTAGACACTGTGTACTTTATTTTGATAAACCAGCGTAGAGTCAATGGTTATGAAAACTATTTTCATCCAAACTTTTTGAACATCCTATATTTCATAAAAGTTAAGTATAATCATTATTCCTCAGGCAATTTGTCACAAAAAAGGGACTCTTGGTTGATATCTGCATCTGTAGAACTTTTCATTTTCGAAATTTTTCCTTTTTAGTCCTACTCAAACATGAAATCTATGTACAGTTTATCAAGGGCTGATTTCGTGATGAATATTAAAAGGTCCATTATCTAATAAAACCAAGATTTTATGGACTTAATGGTCCCACTAGTTAATGGACCTTTTAATATTAAATATAAAATCGACCTTTAATAAAAATTTTAATTTTTTGAATATAATATACACAATTTCATGTTTGACTAGGACTGAAAATGAAAATTCTTGAAAATGGAATGTTCTACGGAGATTAACCAATAGTTCCTTTTTTGTAAAAAACAATTATTAATCTCAACTTTTATGAAATATAGGGTGTTCCAAAAATTTGGGTTATCCCAATTTTTCGAAATAGAATGTGTTAACTAATAATGACGAGTACTAACATATACATATTTTTAAGTTAAAGTCTTTTCAGTAAGAAAAGATATTTAGAAAATTATGTATTTATTAAATTCACTTTATCACTGGAACGTTGACAGGATAATTATATTTAGCTTTTCTTAATAATTGGTTAAGATCTACAAATCCCCCTAGTTTACGGTACTTTAATCTGAAACACCCTGCATAAATTTAATTAGGAACCGTATCAACATGTGACATTTGATAAACGTTTAACAAGAGTGTCCCAAAATAGAATGGCAATGTAAATAAACGTTTCGTTAGAAAATGTTTGAAAAAATATTTTTGATAAACATATCGATTTATCACCTCAATTGCTAGTAAACTGTTTTAGTCAGCTTAATCAGAAAAATAAGTAATACTGATATTTTCTAATTCTAGTTTAAAATAAATAGACACTTTAATTTTGATGATTATTTCCAAGAAACTGATATTGAAAAATTTAAATGTACTCGTATATAATCACCACCACAAAAAATATGTATAATTCTGTGAAAATAATCTAATTTATATTTTTTCAAGTGTTGAATAAAGTAATATTTTTAGAGTAATCATTTTCTGGAAAATCAAGATGTGTCAAAAACTTGATACCAAGTCATATAATATTTAGAACAATTCAGGGAGTTTTATTGAAGTTAATAATAAATAAGGCAGGCCATTTTAGAAAGTCTTAAGACTATTTTAATCTGTATCTATCCAAAGAAGATAAGTTTCTTTGACCTTTACTGAAAACAACTTTACTGTTCTTATTAGAGAAATCATTACCTGCTAACATTTCGTAAATTTTGAGCTAATTAAATCAGTTTAATCATGTCAATCTCTTGTTTTAGGTGCTTAGAAGAAGCAGCAGATATAGCTTACCATCAGAGAGACATGCAGAGTCTTCTGTATGTCCAAAGCAAATGTGGAAACCAATTTGCTCAGAATCAATTAGCTGAAAAAATAAATACAATGATAATGCAGCTGGATTCTAAAAAATAATAATTATTAGGTTTCGAAAATATACATCTATATCCGTAAAATGTTATAAATTTGTTATAATTTCTTTTTTGAAATATGTATTTAGTCTCATTATGTTATTTGATATATTTATGTGATATTTAGGTAAAACAAACATTTTATTAAACCAAATTATTATTTACTATTACTAAACTTATGAAAGTATAATAAACTTTTTTTATTTTTTTACGTTTTTCATTATGTATGCATCAAAAATGACGTATAAAAAGGAGTGACCCTTTGATGAAGCCTTATGGCAGTATTCAGTAGCGCAGTATGTTCGACGGTCTATTAGTAAATGAATTTTCAATTAATTTAAATGGTTTATTATGATTTGATGGGTGGCGTATTAGCAGTAATTTTATTCGTGTTGATATTACATTCAGATTACAAAGCGAGTTACGGATTCGATGATAGTGGGTGAGGTTTTCCTAGTTTTCCTCACCTGTAAGTCATATGGCACCATCAATCATATTCAAGTCGTCCTGGAGTGCCACGGCAAACAATAATAACGATGCCTTCCCCCCACAAGCTCACTCGGCTTCAGGGGGTTAACATTCAATCAACTTTTTACAGAAAACAAAGTTATTGTGCTATCTATTAATAAAAAGGAAAATGCGTAAGCTCTTAAAATGACAAATCTCTATAGCCTAGAAAAGAAAGGAGTGCAGTAATTCAATTTGCAGAAAGTAGTACAGATTTAAGATTACACATTTTATTTATAACTCATCCTTCAATGCTTATTTATAGTTAAGATGGGAGTTTAATTGCATTTAATTTTAGTTCCAAATGAATTTGAAACTGTAAAAGATAATTGATCACCTAAGATTTAGTACACATTTTTTAAATAAATCAGAGCAGTTGCTGACGTTAATATCAATAATGCAACTTTAAAAATAAGAGTTTAAACAATTATAAAAAAAAATAAAATATTTTTTTACGGAAACAAGCAAATAGTCTATTAAAAACCAATTCTCAAATCAGTGTAATAACGAAGAAAATTTATTCTGCAGAACTTTTTTATTTATGAAAAGTTAAAATTTTTATGATACAGTTAGTTGGTTGTTAACATATATAGATCGTCATATTATTATCTCAGTAAATATTTGAGTTATCAATTTAATTTTTTTTTTAAATTGAAGTAGAAACATATGTGCCTCTCAGTACTAAATATTTTAAGTTATCGAAATATTTTTTGTCGAAAATAATTTGAAACATCTATCTTACACCGTTTATTCAGAGTAAATTTCGATATGCAACTAACTTTTTAAGCTATTGCATAGCTTTTATCGCGGGCTTTGAGCGTGGCGACCGAATCAAGAAATTCCGTAACGAAAATGAACCTAACACCCCCACTCCGACCGGCACTCCAACGTCGTTTCAGTTCGGCAGACTTCGGCACGGTGTTTGTGTGCGTGCGATTAGACGTATGCGTGTAGACTAGCTGCTAACTGCTCATAACTGATTCTATCTCTTTTAGACACAATTTCGGAAAAATTGAATTTGAAAATGAATAATGATCCACAAGAATCCACAACAAAATATGGGACCACCATTGACGCGGTATTTTCCAGATATTTAGAGGATATCAAGTCTCAAACTTATGTTTCTTATTTCAGTTACCATAAACCTATACTTTCAATGATAAATCAAAAAATCAAAAAATCAAAAAATCAAAAAATCAAAAAATCAAAAAATCAAAAAATAAAAAAATCAAAAAATCAAAAAATCAAAAAATCAAAAAATCCAAAAATCAAAAATCAAAAAATCAAAAAATCAAAAAATCAAAAATCAAAAAATCAAAAATCGATAATCGAGAAACCAGAAATTCGAAAAGTTTGAAAATCGGAAAACTGAAAAAACGACAGTTAGTTACCTACGAGTATGTTTAATAAAAACTTTCCATTCTACACTTAACTTTTATTTAATAAAGAAACCATAATGGTCGTGGACAAAGTATAGTATTAGACTCGCAATTTATGGCCATTATATGGCTACCATAAATTGCTCGTTTAATAATATAATATTTTATTATTATATTACAGGTCTAAATAGATCAGGTAATTATTTTATTAAATATTATCTTCCATTGATATACGAGTTTAGTTAAAATTTTCATGAAAATTTTATTATTACTTTATTTTAGTTGCATTTCGAAAAAAACTATTATCAAAAAATGCCACCCAAAAAAGAAGACGATACTGTAACCAAATTATTTTTGTAAAATGACTGTTAAGATGGACGTGACAACAGTTATCAATCTATAAAAAAATTAAATGATTATATAGGACAGCCAATTACATTTAAAAAATGTAATGGGTGCATTTCAAATTTTCAGATTAAATATATCTGGATGTCCTAAATTCGTCTTATAGGTATTAATTTAACTATTTTTTTTTTATAAATTAAAATTAATTTGTTATACAGTACCTAAATTTTTTATTCTTTTAATTGACTGCACCTGAAGATGTAAAAATTGTATTTTCCGAAAAAAATGTAGTGTGCTAAACAATAGAAAATAAAAACATTCGACCGATTAAACCAAGGAAATTTTTATTTATATAATATTTAATTTACTTTATAACATAATATTTCAAAAAAGTAGGCTTGAAAAAATAAAAATGTACAGCTGTCAAATAATGAATTATACGTTTTTGTTCAAATTTACAGGCTATAATAAAAAAATTAGAAAATTTCAAGAATAGGAAAATTCCGTTTTTTCATCTAGTAGGTTTCAAAATTGATAACATGCTTATGATTTACTAGCCTAAAAATATAACCATACCAAATTTCAAATAATGCGTTAAATAATAACGAAAATATGTCAAAAAAACGAAAAATATATTTTATCTTAAACACCCCCGTATCTCAGAAGTAGATAGCATTTGACCAAGTGTTATTTGGCAAAATATTAATATTTAAACATTGAAATATTTACCATTCTCTATGAAACTTCCTAAATAGAGCAATTTTTTGTGTGGATTTGTTACATAATATTATTATATGCACTTCTGTAGCAATTCTCCGGTATCTGTACATGACAGGTACAGTACACCATAGGCTTATAAAAGCACTGTAGATGAAACATACAAAATATCTTAAGATTACTTCTCCAGTACTAAATTAATATTCTTGTGTGCTTCTAAAGCACTTTTCCAGCATTTGCAAGTGACGGGGAATTGTATGCCTGAAAAACGTCGGCCGCCTGGTCTGACACAAATGCTTTGCCGGTACTTCAAGTACTGTTCACATGTATTGTGCCAGTGTTGGTCCATTAATGTGTGTTTGCTGGGGTTTTTTGTCCGCACGATAAGTCGAAAACGAAAAACGATATCAATTTAAAAATTTGAGGAAAAAACAAGCTCTATAAGGGGATGAAGCCTATTGATTTTGAAAAAATCTAAGTGAATAAATGGGAGGTTAAGGGGGATTGAAATTAAAAAAAATCATAAACGAAAAACGATATTAACATAAATTTTTTTATTAAAAATCAAGCTGTATAAGAAGAAGATGAGGCCTATTGATTCTGAAAAAAATCTGAATAATTTTGTGGGGTTAAGGGGGTTAAAATATTCAAAAAAATCCAATAAAAAATAAAATTGATACAACTTAAAATTTTTAACAAAAATCAAGCTCTATAAGGGAAAGAACCCCTTTGATTTTGAAAAAATTGATTGAAAATGTGGGAGTTTAAAAGGGGTTGAAATTTAAAAAAAAATATCAATATAAAAATATCAGCATATTTTTAGTAAAAATCAAGCTCTATTGATTCTAAAAAAATTTGAATAAAAATGTGGGTTAAGGGGAGTTGAAATATTGAAAAAAATCCTAACTCAAAAACGAACAATAATATCAACTCAAATTTTTTGGCAAAAATCAAGATCTATAAGGGGACAAAGCCTATTAATTTTAAAAAATCTAAATAAAATAGAGGTCAAATTGAATTAAAGTAAAAAAAAAATAGAAATCAAAAACCAAAAGCGATATAAGCAATCAAGATCCACAAGAATCCACAACAAAATATGGGACCACCATTGACGGTATTTTCCAGATATTTAGAGGATATCAAGTCTCAAAATTATGTTTCTTATTTCAGTTACCATAAACCTAGAGTTTCAATGATAAAAATTCCTGAATAACCTACATGTATTGTAAGATAATAAAAATATTTTAAACAACATTACTACTCATTTATTCAATAAAAGAAACAAATTGTTTTCTTATCGGTCACCACGCTCAAAAAGTGTAACTTGAATTAATATCAAAAAAAAAACTTGAATTAATATCAAAGAAAAAAAATACTGCATAAATAAAATAAATAATTATAATTGCATAAGTTGATAAAAAATGCTATGCAATAACTTTACCGCGGCAGTCCCCGAGTGCTACACGTATTTTTCTTTAATTTTAAGGTCATGAATATTTCTTGTTTTTGAGTGTCAATAACGTATTTATGGTAATGTTGTAGTTGACAGGTCTAGACTGCTCTGCACTGACGTCTAAAATTTGAATTTGCACAAGCTATGTTGCCAAATATCCACTTTCGTTTTAGCTTGCTTTATTTCATAGTTTATTTTTTAACCAAATTGTAACCTCTGTAAATTAAAATGTATGATAAATAAATAAATATAAAGATTTATATTATATTTTGAAATAACAATTATGTTTTGTTTTATAAGGTATTATTGACATTAAAAATAACGATCGTATTGCTTGAACATTTTTTTATTTTTATGGGATTTTTAATTGATGTAAAAATTGGTAAATAGATGACTAAAAGTAAAATAGTTATTTCAATCTGCTTATTCCCTGGTTCCAAGTAATTAAATATAACCTGGCAACTATGTAACGATTCCAACTGGCAGAATTAGCCGAAACAGGAGCGCATTTCCAGACCCTTCAACTACAACATTACCCGTATTTATATACATAACAAATCAACTAATGTTAATTTAACTTTTATACCATTTGGTTGTGTTGTAAAAAGAAATCGTAATTATTTTTATTTATTTTTATTCATTTTTATTTATTTAAAAAAAAAATCGATAGTCCCATACAAACTTTCACCCCCCCCCCCCGTTTTCCCCTCTTAAAATGTGAAAATCCAAAAACCCTGAAACATGTCATTATTTATGCTTAGTA